AGACCATTTTATAGTTGATAAAATTTGATAATTGATGAATTAATCCGGTATTGCTTTGGTTTTACTTCACTTTGCTATGTGATTGGTCAAGAAAACTTGCACCATCCTCTAAACCAACGCTCTAAGCAGTTTGCTTGTTTTCACTTAGAGTTCTTATCGGCTAATGATATTGTAAACATTTGTTCTGATTGGTTGCTGAGAATACTTTGGTTTTGATTTTTCAACACACAGATAACTGCACTATGTACAAGACATCAATCAAGATAGTGAACCCTTGATTTTGTTGGGGACACAGGAAAAGATACCAGCCCTACTATTTTGTAAGATTAAAACTGACCATCCTTGGCTCCACAAAAATACAAATTATAGGGAGCTAGTCATGGTACTGCTCTGCATTTCAAGTTGGAGTTTGTATTAAGAGATTCTTTCTTGAGCTAACATTATCTGCCACCAATAGAATACTTCTGAATATAAGAAGGCAATTACATAAATTGTTATCAAATTGTTCCTTGACTAGGTTTCTAGAGACCCAGTAAAATTTGCTTTTTCGATAATGCTTGAAATTTCATGGATTAAGTTATCTAGTTAATCAGATAATCATAAACTACATAGTTAAATATATATGTACACCTTATTGTAATGAAACTGTCACGGAGGAAAAAAAAGGAAGGAAGGGGAATTAGGGAGAAAGTAAAAAGTACTGGACCTTGGTAACAAATGCCTCTGTTTCAAAACAGGGATCGCTTCAAGGCCTTTGATTAAAGAATGATACATGTCGAATGAAACTTATTTCATACGAAACATTTGCATTTTAGCTCACTTTAAAAGTGAGGGTTTTCAAAATCGAAAATAGCTTCTAATGTGTATGTAAAACGTCAGGTGATTGTCACAAATGATGTCACGATGAATTCTCCCACTCAAACGAATACGTCTATATGACGTTATTATTCATAATTTACAAACTGAGCTCAGAAGAATGAGCTTAATTGAGATAAAGTTACTTCAAACGTCACAATTTCTGGCCTTATTGCATCAATGCTGAATCAAAGGTCAACTCATGAGGTTCATCATTGTCCTGGATTAAAAGAGCCTTAGCAAAGTCTTCTTTTGTCTTCTGCAAGTCATTAGATAATTCTCTAAGTCTGTTTTCAAAACTCTGAAAATTCTCCACCACGAATCTCTTCCTGTTGAAGTGGCCTGGATGATCTTCCTCGCTTCCTTGGTCATTCTTGTTTTGATCTGAATAATAAAAAAAAGATGGGTCTGTCGATGTGTCACTTGGCGAAAACAAATTTTGTTTGGGAACGGTCATTGCCTATCACCTAGTCTGG